AAGATTCAAAGGTCACACAACAGGAGAACTTGAGCACACAATTGAGTGGGGTAGGGTGGGGGCTGGATAATGGGAGGGGGTTGGGGCCATTGGACGAGGGAGATGAGTACATTGGTGAGGGGTGTGGCATTGGAATTACACCCATTAGAAACCAATATTAATAGTACTATAAGCCTTCCCAAATTAAAAAAATTTTAAATCCCAGAAAACTTCGCAAGCATGCTTGTTAAGCACGGAGCACGATGCAGTTCACTGCACTGAGAAATGTGTTGCTCTGGCCACAGATCCTGATCAAATGTCTACTCAGAGATGGGGCAAGGAAGCAGAACTGCATGGCTATGTTCCCAGGAGTTTGCGGTCTGTCATGACGAGGGAGGAGGCAGCCACCAGCCACTCTGTTCCCTGAAGCCTGAGTCTTGGTGATGACTTGGGTGAAAATAAGGCAAACGGACATTGCAGGCACACGTGGGAAGTCCATCTCGCCGTGGCAACTTGTGGGCATCTCCTAGGCCAAGCTAGGGTGCAGGTCATGGGAGCGGGGCTAAGGGAATCTTCACTGCCTTGAATGGAATGTGTGGAAGCAAGAAGAGGGCCTTGCCAAGGGGAGGAAGCCTGGCCCTTGAGCAGATGCATCCTGGGAGAAAGGCTGCAGCCAGAGCCAAGAGACACCATCGTGGGCATGCAGAGGACCCAGAGCAAAGAATGAGGAGAATTGGTGGGGTTGAGAGAAGAAAGGACTGATTCCAGCCTCTCAGCAAAGGGAAAGTCTGGGGAAGCACCTTACGCATGACCTTATGTTCTTTCTTTTAAGTGGGGCTCATTTATCAGAAAGCTGACTTATATGCATCAATATACGCAGGTGAGCGCAATCCCAGATTAGGTGGGTTTTAAAACTATCACTATTGCATGTGCTTGTGTGTGTTCATAATCATAAAACCACTCCGGAACTTAAATGCCTAAGTTCCATTCCAGTCGCGTTCTACTAGGGGTGGAAGAGCAACTTCAACAAAATCCGGACAATCAGTTTCTCTCGAGGAATCAGGGTTTACGTTTGTGGCAATAAATGATCCCCAGATAAATATACTTCTTTCTCTCTCTGTAAATCCTGGATGGTGATGTATCCTCTTTCCAATATAGAAACAGGGGTGCTGGCTCTATTCCGTTGTCTGGTTGCTTTTAAGAAAGGGGGGGCAGGTTGCTCTGAAAAATGATGGTCCCTGATTCATTAAAGTGTCAATAACGCTCAGGCTGGGCATATTGACAGCGGATTAGCTGGGGCTGAGTTTGTGTACAAGACCAAGGCCCTTTGTAACCTAGCTGGCTTCTGGATCGATACAGCCATCAGCATTCGAAAATTAGCCCAAGATGAGATTCCAATACTTGAGGTGGTGTGTCATGCTAAGAGGGTGCACAGCCAAATCACAGATGTAAACACCTCACTGTGGATTAGATGTTTGTCATTAACTGGGACGTGAGCGAGGACTGGCCCCCTCCCGCTAGAAGTACCTGTCCTATTTCCCTGCCTCCACATGTCTTCTTCTTTCTCTCTCTGAACCTCTGTCTCACCTGGGGACCATCAACACAGCCTCTTGCTTCCAGAAGCATCTGTGAAATGCTCACTGACAACATGCCCTCTTAGTTGATCTGAGCAGGAGCAAATCCATGGAGGTGGGTGGGGACAGCATTTTAGGAGAAAAAAAAAAGAGTCCCCCCCAAAGGTGATCGTCATTCTCCAAGGGGGTTCTGCGCTATTCATGATTCCATCCCGATTATGTAAAGATCCTGCTCCCTAAAGCAATGGCTTTTGGCCACTGGTCTGCAGAAATGTCCTGTGACTTCTGGGAAAAAAAATTATCCCTGCTTAACTGACTAGTTTTCAACCACGGGCCATGGGTAGGTGGAGTTGGTCAGCGAATGCGAAAAGGCTAAAACCAGTTCTAAAGCAAGTACTTTGGAAAATTGCTTAGAGTTTCATGATCTTACCCCCTGGGATAGTCTACTTTAATGGAGGGGATGGGGGGACAGGGCCTAGAAGACATGAAACAGTCTCCAAAGCACCCCTGTTATAGATTGCTGATGGACTGTAGAACATTTGCCAAACTGACTCTGCTATTTTTAACATGAACAGATATGTTCTATGCTCTTCTATTTCCCATAAAAATGCTACACACAGTCCTTGCACTGAACCTCCAGCCTAGCTGAGTGGCCTCCACACTACCCGAGCACCACTTGAGAAGCCCCTCCACCACCACTCCTGCATAAGCAAAATCATAACATTTAAAAAATAATAAACAACTAAAATGCTACTAGTGCCCATGACTTTGTACAGTCTTTTTAAACACCACATAGAGGACAAAACCACTGTCATTTCTTTAGGGGAAAAAAAAGACACAAAGTAGGGCCAAAGCGATAGTACAGAGGGATTAGGCCTGGGTTCAACTCCTGGCAACCCATATAGTGAGTCCCCTGAGCACTGCCAAGAGAGATTTCTGAGTGCAGAGCCAGGAGTAATGCCCCGAGCATCAGTGGGTATGGCCCCAAAGACAGACAGGAAGGAAGGAAGGAAGGAAGGAAGGAAGGGAGGGAGGGAGGGAGGGAGGGAGGGAGGGAGGGAGGGAGGGAGGAACAAAAGTGAATCTGCAACCAAGCGTTGGCACGAGGGAGATCACAGCCCCACTGGTTCCATCTGGCTGAGCCAGCACCCAGCTCTCTCTCTCTCTCTCTCTCTCTCTCTCTCTCTCTCTCTCTCTCTCTCCCTCTCTCTCTGGGGCTGCTCCTCACCATTGCCCCACACCTCACTCTTCACAGTTCCGACCTCTAATCTGGATGGCAACTTCTTCGCTTTCTCCCAGCAAGCTTCTGCTTTATTCCATAACTCCTTGGAGTTCGTCCCGAGCCTCCTCCCTGTCCTTCTCTCTCTAAGTAATCATCCAGCACAACTGTCCTTGTCTCGGGCATCAGGACAAGGAGCAGGAATCCCAAAGTGGGGAAAACCCATAAAAGATCAAGCTCTGTCGCCAAGAAACTAGAGTTTCTGAGACGATAAAGCGAGGTATTTTGCTCCAGAAACCAAGGATTGAAATGGTGGGGAGGAAGCGGAGGACAAGTGTGAGCCTCACACGTATGAAATCTGGAAGCACCAGGTTCTGCTTACTCCCCTGAGCCTAGTGCTCCCCAGCCCTGCTTGGCTGAGAATTGGCCAAGGGTGTCCAGAAGCGGCTCCAGGCTGCCCTGAGCACTGCCTGAAGGACCCCAATGTAAAAATTATGGTAGCTCAGCCTGGAGACCTGGTTCAGAAGGTAAGCTACATGCCTGACAGGTGAGAAGTCCTAGTTTTAATTACCAGTACCTTACAGGCCAGAGTTCCTCCAGGAGTTAACCCCCACAAGACTATTTTTAGAAATTCTTAGAGCTAATCCCTGGCAATGCTTCTGTGTGCCTGCCCTAAGAGTTTTTAACAAGTATTTTAAATATTTTAAAATTTTCAGTGCTGGTTTTGTTTTTGAAAGAGTTTGTGTTTTTCCAGAAAGATTGCATTCATCTGGGGAACATAAAGCAACAAAATGAGAGACTAATACCGAGGAATGGCTGAGATTAGTACCAGGAATTTTGCTCCATGACTTGGAGGCCAGCCACACATGCTAGGGGAAAAGGAAACTCAGATAGAGAAGAGAGCACCAAATAAAGGGTGTTGTGAGGATCCTCCCAGGGTGGGAGAAGCATGCTGAAAGTAGACTATAGACCAAACATGATTGCCACTCAATGCCTCTCCTGCAAACCACAGAACCCAAAAGGAGAGAGAGAACAAAAGGGAATTCCCTGCCACAGAGGCAGGGTGGGACGGAGGGGATGGGGGGTGGGAGGGATGCTGGGACCTGTGGTGGTGGAGGATGGGCGCTAGTGGAGGGATGGATACTTGATCATTGTGTAACCGAAACCCAAGAACAAAAATTCGTAAGTATATAACTGTACCTCATGGTGTTTCACTAATAAAAAAAAATTTTTAAAAAAGATTTTGTGTTTTTCAATTTTCTTTGTGGCACCATGATTTGCGATGCTTTTCCCAGTGGGGTTGCATCTGTACAGTGCTCCAAACCACACCCTCCACCAATGTCTACTTCCCTCCACCATTGTTTCTGTGTCCACCCCTGAATTTAAATATTCTCAGGGTCTTAAATATGGAAGTGTTTTAAGTGTTAGCACACAGCCTCGCAACACAATTGTTTTCCAGAAGGAACATTTGAGTCAAGCTCACTGTTAGTAACTTGATTGAGACTCAGTGGGATTTTGAGTTCTGCTTCTCTGGGAATCAGTTCACTGAAGCAAATGGCTATTTCCATGTCCAGGGCAGCAACGATTGGGTGGGGAGGGGTGAAGCCAGGGATATCTCTTCACCTGGGACCCACAGAGAGAGCGGAACCCAACACAAACCCATAGGTGTCCGGATGTAGGAACTGGGGTGCAGAAGAGGGGAGAGTTCGGGTGTCCGTCAAGCATAGAGAATCAAGCACAGGGACCAAGGGGTAGTCTGGGATCAGAGAGGCCATGTGAGGGTGAGGAGAGAGGATATAAGGGCTTATCAACAGAGAAGGCTAAGGGAGATGCCCCAGCACCCCGCTGGTCTGTCTTCTTTGAACTTCCCTGTCAGGCCAGACTAAGGCATTCACACAGAAAAGCGTTCAAGACTGGTCTTAAAACAAAGCAAGTTTAGAATCTGATGAAACCTCAAAAAAAAGTGGAGGACAAAAATGCCAAGGAAAACAATAATTATAAGATAATTTTCTAGAAAATATGTTGTTGGAACTAAAGCCCCCAAAATGCTTATCCTATTCAACGGGAAATTATTTGAAAATTCAGCTTCTGACAGCCAAATGATAGCCAGGTCCTGGCCAATGAAGAGAATTATCTATTCTGCCGAAGGTTCCAGAAAAAAGAATCACATCCACGGCTCTGGCTGACAACGTGACCACGCCCACCACATTCACACCACGCCCACCTACCTTGCACAATGAGGTGGACCCGTGAAGTCTTTGGGTGGTTGTCCGTCTGCACCGAGCAGGTGTAGGGGCCTTCGTCGTACACATCCACGTTCTGGATCTCGATGCTGTACTGGGTCTGGGTGTTGCTCAGGAGGACCACACGAGGGTCCAGACACCACTTGTCATTCCCGGCATAGAGGATTGTGCTGCGGTTTAGCCATGCCACCCGGGTTACCCGGTTGTCGATGGTGCACCTGAAGGGAAGATCAGAGGGCTTGTCACAGACTGAGCCAAGAAAGTGGGACACCTGAACTGGTTTTCCAGCAAGGCCTGGTCTGTGTTCGCTGGCCCCTGGGCACCTGCTCATCTCTGATCTGCTCCTATAGCACTTTCTAGAAAGCAGATCCCCCGAGTCTGATGGTGGACCACAGGTGCAGGACATCAGAGCAGCCTGGTACATCTGAAAACATCCAAGTACAGGCTCTGCAAATACTGTCACTGCCAACCTGCACACAGCATCCTTGCCTGGGATGGCAGCACCATCTCTCCTTCCCCCACCCTGTTTTCTCCAGGATTTCCATGGAGTGTCCACCATCCTCCACCTTGCTCTCTAGAACATGGTTTGAAACTCTTCACACCTGCAGACCTGCACAGGTGATACAAAACGTGGAAGTTTCAAGACTAAGGCATTACACACCTGGAAGTATAGGACCTTCCGCCACCCCAAGGAGGAAGGGTCTGCCAGTTAAAGGCAATGAGGAACCGAAACACCAAATAATTCTATCAAGTCCACCCATGCCCCATATGAGATAGAAAACTCATGTGTGAGCCAGTCCATGTGACGCCTCTCGGCGCAGAGGAGAGAACTGTGACAGAAGGCTCCTGAAGTCGGAACGAAATCTGGACCGCCACCACCGCTACTTATCTTCATTATACCCAGGGGCAGAAATGTGCCGTGGCTGCCAGACTAAAGACATTTTCCCAAATCGCAAAACTGTTTGCACATGTAAAAATAGATCTTCTTTCTTTATGTTTTGCATCTGGAGTCCCCAAGTTGTGGAAGCTCCCTTCTCTTTCCTGCTCCTCTCCCAGCCTCTCCCATGGAGCCCTGGGCACAGCTCTGTCCGAATTCATTTCCTTCCCTGACTGCACCCCATACACTTGCTGGCCTGAGGCTAAATTCACAAACACAGTGTCCTGATTCTCACTCGAATGCAAGAAATAGCAAGACTGCACCGTATGTCTAATGATGCCTCCAATTTATACATTCCTTGGCAGTCTACAAAGTCTTTTTTTATATCACACTGTCTCGTTTGATTTTTGCAGCAAATCTGTTGACTGGCTGATCTTACGCATTCTCTCTTCTAATGGACAAGACTTGCAATAGCCACTTGACCCCAGAAGGGAAAGTCTCAGACCCTGAATTTCTGGTCCTGTGTGTGCCTGGAAAGTGCCCAGGAGGATTTTTCAGAGTGACGGAAGGTCTCCTCCACTACATTCTGAAATGCTCTGTGATCAATCAAAGCAGAAGAAGGCTGAGTAGCCTGTCAGCTTTCCCGGGAGGTCCCTCTCCAGAGGAGCTCTTGGGGTTGTGCATCCTTCCCGCCGGTACTTGTGTAAATGTCACCCCTTCATTGCAGGGCCCCTCAGACGCAGGTGGGGAGCCCTGCAGAGAGCTCCCGCAGGGAAAAATGCTCAACCGCAAACTCCTTTGCTCCAGTGTCCGGCGAGCTGGGTCACATGTGTTGTGTTTTCCGGACAACACAGCGGGGAAGTGAAGGCAGATCTAACTGGGGAAAGAACAAGGGCCTAAGGGGGGGGTTGGGGGGGGGGGGGCGGAACGGTTTCCGGAAGTGTGCACAGGCCATTTGCAGCAGAATCACAGGAGGGGACTGTCACAGAACCTGCCGATTCAAGGTTGTAGAAAACCCAGAAATATGGATGAGTTTCTAAAAATAACTCAGCTCTAGCAACTTCAAAGTTGAAGAAACAGGGGTAGAGAAGAGTGTCTTTGCAGAATGCAAAGTACTTTTTTATTTTTGGAGCACAGTGTCCTCCTTGGTTTTATGCAGTAGCAAATCTGTGAACTAGATGCTTTGGCTCATTCTACACTTGATAGGTCAGGACTTGGGTTTGAAATGGTCTAGGGACTTGGTAACAAAGGGGTTACCAAATTAGTGGGGTACAGTACAGAATGCAGACACAGAGCCCTTTATTCAAAAGTATGAGGGATTTTAAGATGGTAAGAGGATGGCTTACCCAGACACAGGGCCCTGAGTGATGTGTGAATAAACTGAATAGAAGATGAACTGGATGGAGGAGTTCCCTTAGGTTGCCCTGGGGGTGGCAGCATCCAGGTAATGCCAACGCTGGTACTTCTAAACCATTCTCTAAGGAGGCATAAGTCCAGCAGTGAATCTCGTACCCTGGAGGCCCTAAGAAGCCCTGAGCCCCCAGATCATTAAGTGAAAATTAATAAAGCAGGATCTTGTGGGAGCCACTTAGTGTGGACAACCCCAGACCACATCTCCAAGGAGCCGAGTTAGACACTGCATTTCCAGGAGCTCCGACAGAAACTAGGGTGCACAGACACTTTGGACTCATTGAGATATGACCCAGAAGGCATTCTGCAAGTGAACACCAGACAGAAAAGCACTAATCCCTCCCAACACACACAGACACACACACGCACACACGCACACACACCTCAGCAAGGAAATCCCCAGGGGAATCCCTTCCCCTTGCACTCCCTCACACAGGATGTACTTCCTCCCTGAGAGGTGAGAGAATCAGCAGAGTCTGGGAACCCCTAGGCCCACATGCTGTATAGCTTTGTCTGTCGAGTCCTATACCTGAGCATCCATCACACAAACCACTTAAAGGGCGGTCACAGCTTTGAGCTCTGCTTGGCACTGCGCCCAGCAGCTGGTGGAAAGCATCTCCCTGGCCAACATTACTGAAGACAAACGTTAAGTTTGCACCTGCAGCCACCAAGTCCTGCTCTGTCATCTGAGGTTCACTCATCATTGCCCATTTATAGGTGGCTAGAAATGAAATACCAGAATTGTCTAAAATCATACTGACTGAGCTGCAGGACCAAACTCTTCCCTCCCAAATTTAGTGTTCCTGAACATTTTTTTTTTTGGGGGGGGTCTCCAGAGGCACTTAAATTTAAGCATGGATTCGCCAAGTAGACTGATAAAATACCAATAGCATGCCCCTAATCATCTGTAGATCACACTTAGAAACCCCTTCAGTTAGAAATTCTGGTTTCTGGTCAAAGAAGAGCATAAAGATGTGCGGGGTAGGGCACTTGAAAATAATTCTTTTAAAAACTGTTTTCATTACTTGGCCAGTGAGAATTTTTTGGTTAACCAACATATTTACAAAGTCAGGGAGAGTCCCAGCGTTACCCCACCAGCCAGCAGCAGCAGAGATGGGACCAGCCTCTGGAGCATGACCATGGGTACAGAAGGCTCACATCAAGGACAAGGACTGCTGGGGAAAGAGGGAGGCCCATGGCAGGGTGTCTCACAGTCTTTGGTGAGCAGCAAGGATGCCCTGGGCTTCCAGAGAACAGTTCTTTTTTGGAAAGTGACCGACCCCTCACATGGCTTCACATTCTGGGGTTGAGGACAGGGGGATGAAGTTGTCCATTTGCAGATATGGGAATGTTCACCACATAACCCATTTCCTACATGCATCTGTGGTCCCAAGGGAGACTGCAGGGGGAAACTGGCATCACTTTCTCTGTGCTTTTGCTCACATCCAAGGTCAGGTGGAGGCGCTCAAGCTGTCCCTACCAGGGATCTGCCTTGCTGAGTCTCTGTGGAATGAGCACTGGCTTCAGCAGAGATAGGCCGCAGAGGTGACTTGCAGGCAGCTCCTGTCTCCCTCTCCTACCTGGCCCCATCTGTCTGACTCAGTGATCAAGAGCCTCCACAACAATGCAGAGGGAACCATTCTACCATTCTTTTGGGTTAAAACAAAAGTGAGGAGCTGAATTGCTCTTAGGTAGAGTGGTTGATTTGATGTGGAGAGGGAAACACAGGCCACGATGCCCTTCTTCAGAGATGGGCCTTCATATAATTCTACAAAAGCACCACCAAGACTCACCAGGGACTTTGTCTTCAGAAGGTAAGGACCACTAGGATGAACTGGCAGGGGATAAGTTACTTTCCCACGCTCATCCAAGTAAGTGTGGTGACTGCAAGCATCTCCCCTCACTAGCATGGAGCTAGATGGCCAAAATTCAGGCAGTGTGTGGGCTGGCCAAAAGAGGTGAGGGGCCAGGATGGGTCTCTCATCTGTGCAAGTCAGGAAAGTCTCTTGTCATTATTCCCTACAATTTTGAAATGTGCTAAGTATATGCCTCCCATTCTCTCTGCCCACACTGCCATATATACAAGGAACAGAAAAAGGACAATGACACCCCTCAAGACTTTGAGATGGAATCCTAGATGCCTAACCCCCAAACTCCAAACACCTCTCAACTGTGAGATATCCTCTTTCTTGGAGGCTGTCCTCACTTGCCCACTTTCTGTCCCTTGGCTTCTGTCCCTTGGGCTAGTTCTCAGCAATTTTGGTACTTCTGGGAATGGTCTTCCTAGCTCTCCATACCTAAGGGCATCCTTCTATATGTACCAACATGGACAGACCAGGACCTGGACTGGGCAGTACCCCAGCAGAATCCATACTCATTGTTATGCCTTCTCTACTGAAACAATGTGTGTATTAGTCTACTCTAGTCCAACAGGTTACTTTACTTAGAGAAGCAGAGAATAGGCTGGTGTTTTTATACCCAGGTGATCCAAGATGCCCATCCTGCATTGATACTCAGTGCACTCTCCTTGACAATGAAGTCTGGTGTGTAGTTGACCAGCTGTCCAACCGATGTAGCCAAGCTGTACCATGTACCTGAGCAGGATTGAGGGCAGGGGGATGAAGGCATGAGCAGCGCAGGGCAGAGGGGTGTAAACACCCTCATACCCAGAATATTCTGAAGTTGCATCCATTGTGTCAAATCAGTTCTCTGTGTTCAAAATTACCTGCTCTGTGATTGTTGCTGCCTACATACGCAGAAGAACAGTCCACAATGATGGAGCAAGCCCAGCATGAGCATGGAAGAAATGACTCCATACATGTATAGGCTTGAGGCATCAAACATCTTTTTGATTCAGAAAGCAAAGGTAGGGAGGAGGAGGAGGAGGAGGAAGGGGAAGAAAAGAATAAGAACTTGGAAACTGAGAGGGAA